GACATGGTTTCTGAAATAGTAAAGGAGGGATTTCGCTCTCCAGTGATGATAACTCTATTTAGTTGAAAATAAAAGCAAGTTTTACCTATGAGAACAAAAATAAGTGGTCTCTTTCTCCCATCTCAGAACTCAGAGAAGCCCACAGCTCTCAAAGGAGCTTCACTGAGTGTTTCCAGGCAGGAGAATGGCAGGGATCAGAAACATTTTGCAAATCACATCCAAAGTGATGGTGATGCCTTTTAAGATGACATGGATGTAATTTCAGAAAAAGATGTTTAGTATTGAATATAAAAAGCATCATCTATCAGTGATTAAAAAAACTCACAAGGTTGTATTAGGAACTCTGTTCTGGTCAAAAACCATCTGTTGTGTGTACAAATTATGTAGTGTTATGATTCTCGAGAGCTCTCTCAAAGTCACTTTTAGTTTTGGCTTAAGCTGTCTTAACTTAATGTATATAGCCCTCCATGGAGGAGTCCTCCAGTGGGAGGGAGAACACAAAATAAGGATCTAGATATAGGTTTAATATCTATATATCTATATCTATCTATCTATCTATCTATCTATCTAAATGTAGGAGTAAAATGAGATCAGAGGATGAATTTCCCATTTTTCCTTTAACTAATATGCTTCACCATAGAGCTAAGGTAGTGAGATTTGGGTTTACTGGGTTCCTGTTTGTAAAGAACAATTGAACTTCCATTAAAATAAATCTTCAAATGTGTACAAAGAGAGAAACTGCAATAATATTTATACTTAAAATGTTCCATCTATCCAATTGGTGTTCAACTGTTTAACCTTATGTTGCAGACAACAGAACACCCTGAAGAATCTCTTAGCATATTTTCTCTTTTTCATTGTAAGTGTGCAATACTTCACACCATTCAAGTAGGTGAAAAAAATAAAAGCAAAATTTACAAATTGAGTATTGTTATGTAAGGGTTATCTTAATCCTTAGATAACTCCTTTTGAAATTAGTAAAATTTTTTTATAGCATGAATAATCAAATTTTGTCAGCTTGCCTGGCCACAAGTGTGGTCAGAAATCGAGTAACCCATTCTTACTACAAATGATGATGATGATAATGATGATGATGATGATGATGATGATGATAGTAATAATAATAATAAATGGCAGGAGAAAATCTTTGGAGGTAATAAATATGGTTATGGCATAGATTGCAGTTATGGCTTCACAGATATATGCTGATCTCCAAAAAGTTGTATACATTACATATGTACAGGTTTTTGTAGGTCAATCATACTTCAATAAAGTGGTTTTTAAAAAATGGAGCAACCCAGAATCTCAATTTTAAAATATTTGGGAAAAACAAGAAATGTAAAACTCTTCACGTGATGATTTGCCTTGAAATTGACCAAGCCATTATGATTCCCTTTCATTAACCAAGATTTTCATTTGCTTAATCAACTATGGCAAGGGGCAATTTATGCCCTATGCAGGGCTGGAGGAGAAGTGATTGCTAAAGGGGTTTTGTCATGGGGTAGCATGCCTTCTCCTTGGATGACTCAGTCATAGTTAAAATGTTTAGTCCAGCAGGATTCTAATCAGAGGGGGCAGGTAAGAAGAGGTATAATAATAAAAAATAAAATCAATCCAGAAAACAGGTAAATCATATAAACTAAACAAAGGGAAAGTGGTAATTCCTGGCTAATCCTGTAGATAATGCAACTCCTTCTCTTTTACCTCTACCGTCACAACTTTCAGAATATGATGCGTATTTGATTCCTTTAATTAGTATATTAAAACAACACTATGCAGTCTGGCATTTTAGAATATTCTGACAGTATAATCAAAGCAAACAACTAAACAAAAAGTTTCCTGCCTAACCTGTTAAGTAGGAACTCTAGACCACGCATGTTTCTTTTTTTTTTAACACAGGGTCTCGCTATGTTGCCCAGGCTGGAATGCAGTGGCTATTCACAGGCGCGATCCCACTACTGATCAGCACGGGAGCTTTGACCTGCTCCGTTTCCGACCTGGGCCGGTTCACCCCTCCTTAGGCAACCTGGTGGACCCCCGCTCCTGGGAGGTCACCATATTGATGCCGAACTTAGTGCGGACACTCGATCGGCATAGCGCGCTACAGCCCAGAACTCCTGGACTCAAGCGATCCTCCAGCCTCAGCCTCCCGAGTAGCTAGGACTACAGGCGTGCGCCACCGCGCCCGGCACACATGTTTCTTTTACTCTAGCCCTTCAGTGGCAGCAGCTCAGTCACTGAGATTTAACCGCATGCGTTCTCCTCCCCGCTGTAGTTTTAACTTTCCCTTTCTTAGGGCATATCTCCTGAGTCCTTGGTATTCCTTTGACTCAAAGCTGTTTGTCCTGTAGGCCAGAAACCCAAAGACTGGTGGAGGAGTGGCTTGGCAGAGTTCTAGAAGCAATCGGTACCTTTGTCGTACTCCCTCAAAGAACCCAAGAGGGTGGCAGCACGGAGAGGGAATGGAGTCCTACAGTCAGCCAGACACTGCGAACTTGAATTATATGTGAGTGGACTCAGTGGACTGAAGACCAGGAGACCCTCTCCAGAGGTCTACATACAATGTCTGGGGACGGTGTGAGAGAGAGCATAGGGAACCCTGAAAATGTCTCAATTTGTTTTCTTTCACTCCTTATTGAGTAGAGCCTCAGTCATATTTAATTTGAACATTTTTAAATAAATTGAAGCAATCTTTCTGGCACCAAATTATTTTGGTAAAGTAAAATGCATACCTGATGTACAATTTATTAAGATTATGTTGACTATGATGTTTTAAAGAACTTGGGGTTGCTTCTTCTGATGACAAGTTAATTTTTCATTGGTTCAAATAAAAGTCTATTGTTGGAAAGTTTTTTACCCATTGCTATAATTTGCTGATATTTACACCTTGTATTTTCTTTTCCTTGATTATCTTTATAAATTTCTTTTTGAGGATTTGTGCCCAGAGCTAACACTCACTTTATTTTATTGGTTCATCTGATCTCAACTTGAAAAGTATACCCAAATCTGGATGAGAAAATATCTTCTAATTGATTCTGAATTTTAATTCTGCATCAAGACTTCAAAGATTTAGTTCTTCATTTCTATTTTTTTGGGCATCATAGAACTGTCAGAAGCCCTGTTTGATGGTTTGCAAGGTAATAAACTTGAAATAAAGTCAGCTTAGCTAATAAAGTCTTTTCCTCTGCTTACTTAACTATAATTATGATTTCTATAATTACTTATTTTTTTCCAGAGGAGACAGATTTCAAAGATGTCTCTACATAAGAATACTATTCTATGTCTTTCTCTAGTCAAAAGATGGAGAATAATTTAAAAACTATCCTTCCACTCAGAATTAGAAGCTAAAAAAGCTGAGAGATGAGATGCTGAATGGGAGAAAATGAGAAAAAAGGAAAAAAGAGGAGACTGAACATTAGTAAAGAGTGAAGAGGAAGAGAGAGGGTGAAGGAGTAAGGAAAGAGAAAGTAATGGGCATAGACTTCCCAATAAGAAAAGAATAATTGTCACAAAGAGGTTTACATACAAGATCCTCCCCGACCTCCCAAGAAAGAGTTGGAGGGTGCTTAGACACAGTGGCTTTGACAAAGAGATCAAGATGTAAAGAAGATATTGGGGGCGTGCTTTTAGTTTGAACAACTGCTCTAGAGATGTTGACACTGATCATACTTGAAAGAAGAGGTTCTGAACACCCAAGTTAAACATCAGAAATAAAAAGTCAGCAAGCTTCTCAGATGCTTGGATGCTGAGGTGGTTCACGTCTTGACATAGTGGCAGCAGTCTGACCTACCTGGCTGCAATCCGGCCAAGCTCTAGCAAACAGAGACACACTTCTCTGGGTTGCTTGTGGAGGACTGAAAGACAAGACAGAGGTGGACACCTTTACAATAGAAGGGATTGTAAAGCAGCTCGATGGTGAACAGACTTGTCATTGACCCCCTCATTCCTCTTGCTCCCAGTAAATGAGCTAGTCTTTGGTGTGACATTCACAAAATCCATCCTACCCCGCAGTAGACTCTGCTCCACTAAAGTCTTAAAGTAGCTTTCAAAATTCTTTGCCCAACCCCTTTCCCAAAAGCTACGAGTCTCAGGAAATCTTAACCTGTGTAAATCTCGGCTGAAATTCTTTTCTTCAGTTAGTTAATTTTAGTAAGTCGATATTGGATAAACAC